AATTTTTATGTAAGGAGGCAAATATGACCTCATAAGCATCACTGGGATTTTTTTTGGAATGTGAATCATTATGATGATATTAATAATAGCTAACATTTATGTAGCACTTTAAGGTTTGCAAGGGACTTTACATGTTATGTGATTTGATAATTTGATGGATCAGGACTAGAATAAATCTCTAATATGTCTTTATTCAAAAGGAACAGACTCGATGAAAGGAGTGATGGAATAAAATGTATTAAGAGTATGAACACAGGTCATTTGACAGACCTGTGATCACATCAGTGTGAGCACTCACTTCAGTGATGCAGCTAGCACCTTTGAAGAAATCTGCAAACTATAGTAGAAGCAGCATTATGGGGAGAACATTTGGTTCAGGAACAATGGAGGCTAAAGCAGAAACAACAGTATGGTGGGAACTATATATTTGGCCAAAAGGAAGAAATGATAAATTTGAGAAACAGCAAAACTGAGCAAAGGAGCTAGTAATATTGTGATGATGATAGATGACTTCAGCTGTGTGTGTGTAGACATCTCCTTTTGAGATCTTTTATGATGATTTCATTCCTCAAAAGATAAAGAAACAAAAGAAGAAACCTCTCTTGGACTTCATTCTCATAAACAAGGAAGAACTTTTCTGCTAAAGTTGGAATGATAGGATACTTGGAAGTGACCACTGCACCTTAGAGTTTGTGAAATACAAGGGATTTGGATTCAGTCACCAAGGTCTCTTTCAGCTCTCAGTCTTTGATCTTAGTAATAGTCTGACATACTCTAGGTTGTGGAAGAATGTATTAAGAAGAGTTAAGAGAGGAAATACAGGTTCCTTGGCTTGACATTCTATAGGGGAAGTGGCATAAAAAGAATGGGAAGCTGTGTTGAGGGAAGAACACAACCGTTCTGATGAAGGGGAAAAGAGAAACTGTGAAATGCACAAGGAATTTTTTGACCAAATTAGATGTTTTAAAGATCTTTGTAGAATAAGGGAGTGCTGAAGTTCAGTGTGAATTTGGGTTGATAATGAATGTTAATATTAACCCTAAAGGAACTGCCAGTAAGAACTTACTGTTGAGCTACTCTTGGGAACTGAAAAAATTTTGGAAAATAAGAGGTATTATAGGATTGGTGATGGGCAAAATGCCTTGATTTATAAAGGGGGGGGGGGGTTTAGCTTCATTTTTTGGCACAGTTGTAGAACATATTGTTAAAGGGATAGTTTGTGAATGTTCAGATTGTTGGATAAAAAATTATTTAGAGTAACTTGCTAAGGTAGTAAATTTACAAGAGACATCCTGTATCTGTGTTTCAGAATTTGACATTGTCTCATGCTCTCCCTGTTGGACAAAATGAAGGGATGTTGGCCATATTTTTTAATTATATGGATTAAGAACTAGTTTAATGACAGATAGTGCACAATGTTCTGTTTTCTAGAGCACTGGTCTCCAAAGTTGGGCCCTAGGCCCCACAGAGCTTTGGCATGCCCCAAGGGATAAGTAATTACTCAAAGGTTGAAACTGAGTAACTTCTGAGGTAACTAGTCTCTGGGCTAACCCCACCACCTCTCTACCTGTTGTCTCCTCATACTCATACTGTCCCACTCCCTTTTATAGCCAGGAAAGCTCATAATCTCTTTAGCTGCCTGCTTCTCAGGGTAGCCTGTCCTTCACAACCACTGACCTGGGAAGCCTGTCCTGTGAAGAAGTGTTAGCTATCCCCACCAGTCCCCGACCAGAGGTCACTCACAGGGCAGGCATGTTAGTCCAGCTGAAGCAGCAGGGTGCACTGAGGAGGAGACAGAAGGGAGCATGTGCCTGGCAGATTGAGCCACCACCGTCGCCACACTGACCACTATTCCCCGTCGGACCCTGATGGAGGTAGTCCAGGCCCCTTGAGTCCAAAAGCCTTGGGAATAGTGATGCTTCCAGCCAAGTGCCCTCAGCCATTATCCTGGGAAGAAGCCACTGCAGTGATGCAGTCTGGCAGCTGCTCCTGCAGATGCTTTAGCCATAACTATTGGAGACCCAGAAAAGAAAGTTTTTGTCACCAAAGTCCTTGGCACTGTCAAATAATTCCACACCAGAAGTTGATGACATTTTTTTTTTTATCAGTGAAATGACATTAATGAAGAGGCATCACCATCTGCTCAGCTGCTACACTCTAAGGACCATGGGACCTTTCTTTCTGATTTGCAACTTTCATATGTGTTCTCTTCCCCATTAGATTGTGAGCTCTTTGAGAACAAGGATTGTCTTACTTTCCTATTTGTATCCTTGGTGCTTATTAGTAAAATGCTTTACATATAGCAAATGGTTAATGAATGCTTTTTTAACTTCATTTAGAAGGCAAAAACATCCAGAAAACATTGCAAAAACAAACCTGGTTAAATGACTAGACCCAAGTAGTAGTAGTAATTAATTGCTTAATGTCACCTTGAAAGTTGAACTCTAATGAAAGCCTCAGAGATACCTTATTGGCCCTGTTTTATCTCCTATTTTTATCATGGACAAGGGCTTAGATGGCATGCTTATCAAATTGGCAGTAAACATAAAACTGTCTAATAGAGGCAGAATGCAAAAAGGTCTTGACATATTAAAATGGTGGGCCATATTCATAATGAGACTTTAATAGGGATAAATAGTTACACATTTTAGTTAAAAAATAAATTTTAGCCATTCAAAAATGGGGGGGGGAGCTAAGAATGTGATTAAACAGTGGAGACTTCAAAATGCAAGGCAGTTCAAATCTCTGAAATGATCTTTGAATGCTTAATAGAACCTGAATGTCCAGAATGAGATAAGTGATTGTCCTTGTACGTTTGACACCATAGCTATGTGTTCAGATCTGGGTACTGCGTTTTCGGAAGGATTTTGACAAACTGTAATCCATCCTGAAAAGGTTGACTGTGATGGTAAGCAGACAGGATATCATGTTTTCCCAAGATTAGGTGAAGTGAAGAAAACTGTGAATGTTTGGTCTGAAAATTTTTTTTTGAGTGGGGTAGGTTACAGTACATATTTCAAGGGTTATCCACTAGGAAAAAGATTTAGATTTGTTTTGCTTGTCCGTAGAAGGCAGAACTAAGAAAAGTGGGGTGAAACCATAGAAGCAGATTTTTGACTATGTAATTCCTTAGCTAGTTAGTCAGTCACCCTGCAGTCTAGCTAGAGAACAGCCAATCCTATTGGTCAGTGACCAGTAGTGTGAAGTTCAGGGCTATATACGTGTGTGTGTGTGTGTGTATGAAATATGTCCTCCTTCCTTCCCTTCTCTCTCCCCTCCACCCCAACTCCAACCCCCATCACAAATGGTATGTCTACTAAATATAAAGCAGATTCTCCTGGAAAAGGTTAGTTCTAGATACAGTTTGCCCTGTTCCTATGACTTGTGAGCTCCTTTTCTCATTTTTATAGTATAGCATTTAACATCTCAACCATGATGAGGTGATAAAGCAGGGTGCTAATATCTGTTTCCCAATTTGGCTGTTTTTCCTTTTTGACTTTAATGGTACATTTCTCCCACACACCCCTGAATCTAGTTTTGCTCTAGTAGTTTAGCTGACATATTTCCCCAAAAATGTCAGTTTGTAGGTGGCAGTGCTGTGAATTTGTGTGTGATTGATGCTATTCAAAATAGCTATCATATAATTTTCTTGTGTTTTTTAAGACCACAGAAATAAATATTAAATAAATTCCTTCTCTGGATCACATTTTGTGCCAAAGCACAGAATGCAAAAGTGATTTTTTTTTTTGTTACCCATTTGTATCAGAGAAGCTTTGTTTTTGATTGAGATTTTTATATCTTCTGTTATGACATCTTTTCCTATTTTAAATCTGGATTAGATTGGGCAAAAACTCAGATAAAGGACTTTATTTCTGTTCTTCACACTCTACTCTTTTTTATCCTGTAAGATCAAGATCAGGAGAGTGTGTTAAGGAGGCATCATAGGAAATATTGGGAATGTTCCCTTGATTGTTTTGTTTAGATGCTAATCTATTGCTTATATATTTTTACCATTGGTACTCTAACCTCATGGAGCAGCAGTATGGTACAGTGGTAGAGCACTAGGCCTGAAAATCAGAAGACTCATTTTCCTGAATTCAACTCTGGCCTCAGACGCTTATTAGCTGTGTAACCCTGGGCAAGTCACTTAACCCCATTTGCCTCGATTTCCTTATCTGTAAAATGAGCTAGAGAAGGACATGGCAGACCACTCCAGTATCTCTGCTAAGAAAACTCCAAATGGAGTTGGAACTTGAAGGAAGCCAGGGAAGCCAGGAGGTGGAAATGAGGAGGGGAAAAATTCCAAGCATGAAAGAAAGCCAGTGAAAATTCCCAGAGCTGAGACGGAGGATCAGGATCACAAGTGTTGAGGAACAGCAAGGAGACTCATGTCAGATCTTGGAGTATGTGGGAGGGTTTAAGGTGTAATAAGACTGGAAAGGTTGGGGCAGGGGAAAAGATTATGAAGGGCTTTATACACCAAACCAAGGATTTTATATTTGATCCTGGAGGTTATAGGGAATTATTTAAATATTACTCTGCTGCTTAATTGTGGTACGGAGTTGCAAATTCCTTGCTCTTTGAGGTTACTTTCTATTTAGTCTGTATATATCTTGTATACATCTATTTATATACATGATATCTTTTGCATTAGAATGTATGTTTCTTGAAGGCAGGGCTTGCTTTTGCTTTTGCTTTGTATCCTGAATGCTTAGCACAGTGCCTGATGCTTATAAATGTTTAATTAATGCTTTTTGCTTCCTTGGAAAAAAAAAACAAAACAAAACCCAAATGGATCATGAAGAGTTGGACACAGCTGAAAATGACTGAATAGCAACAAAATTCTGATCTCATTTTTATTGGGCATTGTAAAGTACAGAAATATCCTTGATGGAAGAATGCTTTATTATATAAAATAGTTGTATTGAAGTGGGGGTAGGTGGGATTGGATGACATTTGCTCAGATATTTGTGTTCACATTGTATTTCCTTATATACTAGATGCAGCAGTTAGAGTTGGCACAGATGCAACAAAGAGATGCCAATATTACAGCCCTTGCAGCCATTGGACCAAGAAAGAAGAGACCACTGGACTCTGTTGTTGGATCTGGAATCGAGGTACCAAAATACACTGTCTTTATAAGAAAGAAAAAAGACAAAAGTGAAATGAACATATATAAGTACAATTTCTTGTGCAAAACAGGTGTTCAATAAATGCTTTTGAATTCTGAAATGCGCCTTTGATCACATCACTTTCCAGGTCAAGAATCTATAGTGATTCTCCATTGCGTACTATATCAGATCCCAGTTTCCAAGGCTGTCTTCTAAAAATGTATCTTTAATTCTCTTATCCATATTTATGTCCAACTATTCAAAATTATCCCTACTGTCTAGGCAGACTGATTATCATACTATCTTCTTAAAACCATCTATTTGCCCCTGCGGGTCTTTATTTAAACCATACCCAGAACCTAGATGAGGCATTTGTATGGTGTAGGCAAACTCCCTAAGTGAAAGAAAGAACACAATGTTATTTCCTTAAATGAACAGTTATATAATGTGCAAGATAAGGAAGTACTAACACCAGCAGCAGCAGCAAGAATAACAATAAAAGCCAATAAATGTTTGTTGACTAACTTTCCAAACCAGCAAACACCTTTCTTGGACATTTGTTATTCTCCTATTTGTGCTGTTTCCCACTATTAGAATTTAGGCTCCTTGTGAGAAAGAACTGTCTTGCTTTTTAGCACAATCCTTGAACACAGTAAGAAACACTTAATTTAAAAAAATAAAACAAAAAAACATTTTTGATTTATTCGTGAAAATGAGTAACAGAGAGGTTTTGATAAGACTCCTTTCTACAACAAACCATACTTTCATAGCTTCACAGTTGACGAAGTAAATATAACACCTTATTCTGTTTATTATTTCTTGACTACAAAAAAGGCTTTGATTGGTAGAAAAAATGTAGACTAGAAGACTGTTCCTTCATCAAGATGTCTCCCATACACATATTAAGATCATATGTGACTCCTTGATAAGCACAACCATGGTGATAAGTTTCCTTATTGCTCCTCCAAATCAATGACATGAGACATAAATCAGGTAGAAATACTCAAAACATTTTTACCACTGTAATGGAAGATGGTTCGAAAAAGAAGATTCTCTGAGAGAGAATGAGTGGTGAGGTACTCCAAATGTTCCTGTTTGTGATGACACTGTTGATTTCATCAGGCCCCCAAGATACTATGGCTGGCCTCCTCAGTGAAATCCACAGTGAAAATTTGGAATTATGCCCAAAGGGCAGTTGAACTTTGCATGCCCTTTGATCCCGCAATACCACTGCCAGTTTGTTTGAGTTTAAATCCATGGTAAAATCGATTATATAATGAGTTGTTAGAGTCTACATGTCATGGCTTCATTGTCACTGATGGTAAGAGTAGATCACTATTGAAATGATCTAAAAAAAAATCTGTTGAATTTTGTATCTGTTGTTGTTATCCTTTTGGTTTCATGTCTAAATGTAGGAGCTAGGTGGCAGGAAGGATAGATTTCTGGATTGGGAGTAAGGAAGACTCAAGTTCAAATCCAGCTTGAGGCAGTTATTAGCTGTGTGACTCTGGGCAAGTCACTTAACCTCTGTCTGCTTCATTTGCAAAATGGGGATTATGCTAGCACCTACCTCCCTAGGTCCTTGTGAGAATAAAATGAGATAATATTTGTATAGTGCTTTGCAAACATTAAAGCACTGCATAATGCTAGCTGTGTGATTGTGATTGTTATATATTCTTGGAATGATCATGCCAAACTTTCTGTAGGCTTCTTTTCAGTGTTTTATGAAATGATTCCATTCATTTTCTTCTGACATACTTCTGTCAAATTATGTTTTGCAAATCATTGGCAAACAATTGTAAACCTTGCCTACCATGTCTTTCCTCTTGTAGATCATGTGTTTCTGGCTAAGGTAAAATATTTGTAATATCTGTGTGATATAATCTAAAGCAATTTGTAAAGTTTAAATACTATATAAAGACAGGCCACTGATTATTAAATTGGGGGGCGTCAAGAGAAACAAGTATTTACATAGGGCTTATTATATTTCAGGTAAAGCACTTTACAGATATTATTTCATTTGATCTTTAGAACAACCCTGTGAGGTAGGTGCTGGTATCTCCATTTTACAGTTGAGAAAACTGAGGCAAACATAGGCTTTTTTGCTCTTGTTTCAGTTTTTTTTGTTTGTTCATTTTTTGTTTTTTTTAAATTTGAAGTGACTTACTGAGGGTCACAACAGTTTGCAATTATCAGGCTGGATTTGAACTCAGGTCTTCCTGGCTTCAGGCCCAAGCCTCTATCTACTCAAGTAACCATGATTTCATCTCCCATTTGTAGAAATTCTCTCCGTTGGTGCAGATCAGCAACTCATCATTAACTTCGATTCTGAAATCATTGCCTTGTGCTCTGAGAGTTGAAATGACTTTCCCATGGTAACTCAGTTAGTGGGTGTCAGAGGCAGGGCTTGAAAACCAAGTCTTTTGCTTTCAGAGTTGGAAATCTTTACCATGCCATAGTTTTCTCAGTTATTCTCTTAACAGTTTATTGAAATATGAACAGGTATTTCAGGATTGAGTACACTTAGAAAAATCTATCAAAATTTAAGATGGTTGGCTTTTTTGTGAAGTTTGGACACTTAGTTGAAGTATTTATAATCTCTTCTGATTATTGCTCAGTCATACCTTTAAATCAACATAACTCCATCTTCATACACTTAACTCTCTTCCACATACTCCATGTTCCGGACACACTGGCCTAATTCCTGTTCTTTGAACAAAATACTCCTCCCTCCACTAGACCTTTGTGTTAGCCGTCCCCATGCCAGCAAGGTTCTCCTTCATCACCTTCACTGCTTAGTTTCCTTGACTTCTTTCTTTCAAGATTTATTTCAAGTTCCACTTATTCCAGAAGGCTTTTTTCCTGGTCCCTACTGTTGCTAGTAACTTCCCTCTGAATATCTTCCATCTAATCTATACACACCTTTTATCTTCCTAGCTGTTTAAATGTTTTTACTTCGTTCAGAATGTAAGTTCCTTGTAGGCAGGGGCTTTTCTTTGTGTTTCCAGTGCTTTGCACAGTGCCTGGCATGTAGCAGGCAGTTAGTAAATGTTCATTGACTTCATTGTATGTATTGAGGACCATATGCTTAACTTTACACTTTCTGTAGATTTTTATGTTGTTTTTTATCATGAGGCTTTAACATCACCAAAAAAACATTGTCTCCCACCTGTGCCCTTCCCCCGTACTCCCTCTGAAATGGGGTGAACAATTTATCGTGGTTTGAAAAATTCAACTGTTATTACTCTCTTTAGGGATTTGTGGCTTGCATTTGTGGCTTTAGTGATTTTTGTCAGAAGCTTGATGCGTAACTAAAATGTCAAAATGTATTTAATAAATCTAAGAATCTACATGTTTTATTGAGGTTTTATTGTGAGGCTTCTCAAAGAGCATTTCTTAAGGATAAGAATGAAAAAAACCACGCGCTTTCAGTGCAAGATTGTGATAAAAATCGACTTGTAAGCCTGGCAAATTTTGTCATAAGCAGTGATATGAAACTTGCTTTTTTAAAGCATGGCTGCTCACAATACAGAGAGATAGAGATTGGTATTCTATGTATTCCTCATTTTTGGTTTTTAAATGACAACATGAGGCTTCTTTCTCTCAGTCATTTTATTGTATATGACTGATAGAGGCTTTCAGTCTCCCATTTCTCAACAAAAACCTTGTAGATTGTCTTTGAGATTCTGGTCTTTCCTAGCATACACAAAGCTTTAAGAGTCAAATCAAATACCTTAGTCTTTGCAACTGAAAAATCTTGGCCTCCTGCTTAGGTGGCATCTTAAGCACTGTAATAGTAGCTTAGCTTAAAAGCACTTTGAAGATTTGAAAAGGTATTTTCTTCATAACATGTAAGTGTAGTGGATAAAGAATTGTTCTTGGACCCAGAAAGAGCTAGTTTCAAGTCTTGCCTCTGACACATACTAGCTGTGTGACCTTGGACGAATCACCTGTTAATGTTCTAGGCAACTACTGAATAACATATGTTGGACAGAAGCTGCTGACCTATGTAGGGAAAGGGAGTTTCCTTACCTGGAAATTTGCTAAACTGATAATCCAAGGATTATCAGACCCTCTCCTTCACAACAACCCCTAGAGCTTGTGTGAGTATCATTTGCATTTTACTAATGAAGAAACAAGTTCAGAAAATGTTAACCAAATTGTCCAAGATCGTGAACTGAGCATGCTGCGTTGAATTGTGACTCTTTCCACCTGTGAAATCTGTTGCTCTTTCATGGAAATGTGTTTTATATCGTTTTTGATGTTCAGAGTTTTTATTGTGATAGGTTAGCGAATTGCACGTGAGCTTTCCTGTGCGAGCCCGCGCGCGTGCATACACACGCACGCACACACACACACACACACACACATACACTTCCACTCAAGTTGTATATATTTAGAGACCTTTACATCACAAACTTGCTAGAAATTTGACTCCACTTACCCATGAAATTGGGTTTCTCCACGAACAGCTGGTGTTTTTTTCTTACAACATATTGATAAGCAACTGATTCTGACTCCTACACTGTTATTATAGTATGAGATGTAGTTTTTTCTCTTTGGAAAAGACTGCCTTTCATCTTAGAGAATACCTTGACTGTATCAAGGCATGCTTTTTACTTCTCCCTTATTGATTCTCTATACCATTCATCACACAATCGCTGTTCTAGACTTTTTCTTCGGTTCTCCCCCCCCCCAAACCCCTTCTCCCCCCCTCCTTAATTGAATATTTCACCTTATACTATAGCAGTAAAGTCAAGGCCATTAGCTGTGAGCTCTGTTTCCCTCCCCTTATCTTCATTTCACAATCCTTTAACATTAGCCTCTTTTGTATTTCATCCTTCATTTTGGTCTCTAATGAATAAATTTCCATTATCTTCTCTAAGACCAACCCCTCTGCATATACTGTCATTCCCATCCTTTCCTGTATTCTCCAGCATATTCCCCACTATCATGTGTTCTCTCTCTCTCTCTTTCTCACTCTCACTCTCATCTTTCTCTTCCGG